ACATGTCTGTTTGCAAGCGTTCCAAACCTTATAAACATCTAACTGCTGTGCAGAAACAGAGCGTATGCAAATGCAAGCAAGTAGTTGACAAGTATTTCAAGACGTAGTTCGTACCTATGATTGTTGTAGTTACGATGTATTGAATTTATTATTACTGTATGTCAAATAAAATAAAATTTAAATTATGTGTAACCGAAAATCGATAATTCGACGATAATTACCTCGGATCAGTTGACTGTAGCACTCATAATTCAATGATTTATTCAATATTTCGAATCGAAGAAACATGGAAAGGTGACGCCAACGAGTCCTGACGTCTTTGTGCTTGATGCACCAAACTGTACGTCGAGCATAATCCTACTTTCGACACTTGAGCGACTTCTCCCGTGACCAGAACCCGCACACATTTTTCGAATTGTTCTGTCTTTATAAAGCAAATTTTCGTGCCTTTAATCTATAGAAAAAGAAGAAGAGAATTAGCAAGACAAATTCACCGCAATGTATATTGCGAGGAACTTTTATTCACAACAAGGTGCTCGCTAAAGGAATTACCGTAATGTACGACGTGATGGTCGCTTGGCTTTTTTCTTTCTCTTTATAGCGTCTCTGTTTCTTCTTTATCAGCTTCATGCTGTTAAAATTCTCTCACTGTTAATGCTTTTATTTCTAACATGTGTTTATATTTTTATTGGTCAAAGCCCATCAGCTTCACTATGTCGAGATACAATATACTAATATTGTTTGAGAAAAAATCTAATAACGAGAATTTACTATATAACTTCATTGTATCGAGTGATAATTTAATAATACTGTTTTTGTTTCAGAGAAATTCTTCACTATAGTGCCAAATATTCGCCTTCATTATATCGAGGTTTGACTGTATATGATTATTGTCTTAATAATCTTACGGTATAAATGGTGTATACGGCTTTGAATTTTTCCACATAGACTGTCTCCTTCGTTTTCTACGCTCTTTCTCTATATTAATATCCTCTATAATCGTTAAGTCCTTACATGCAAATACTAACAGTAAATCTTTTCCTTTTTGGACTCCACACGAAAAGATGCGTTAAAATTTTTTTGAATAATCACGTGAATGAGAGCGTTTCTTACCTGACGAACATTGAACACTTTAATCCCTTAAACCATGAAACAATGTCGTTTCGTCTTGGACGACCCATACTCTCTGTGCTGACCTTTTTCGAATCGAGAACACTGCACTCTTTACCTGTATCTAGACTACGGGGTCATTTCTGTACACGGAGACTACTTCACGGCAAGTTAATTGCAGGACCACTTCCGTTCTTTTTCGCTTCCGATAAGAAAACCATTGTGTATTCATTGTGAAGGGCTCTCAAACTAAAAGGTTGACATATTTTCAGTCACTTCCTGTATACGACAAGAAACATCGCACACAACTGAAACGCAGGCAGGTGCGCCTGTTTTCGGTTTATCAAATACTCCAAGCGTCACTGACAAGGATCTGTCTAGATTAGACGAATTAAATGCTGAATTGAAAAGGCTGGTCAACTATTCCAAGCCAGTTGACGTGAACGCGCATTGTAGGAATTTTATAATTGAGAATGTAAGACCGAATGAAGAGACTTATAACCTATTGCTAAGCATGAATGAGCAATACGGATGGATTATAGAGTCATTAGAGCTGTTCGAGGATATGCGCCGCGGTGGACTAAAACCCAATTTAGAGACATATCACATTCTTCTACGGGTAACTTATGTCTGTTTTAAGTCAATATTTGCTTTTTACAAGTGCTGATTATATTGTCCCACCTGCTGACTAGACCGCTGCCAAGTCCCGCCCGAAACACCCCAAATTACGCGAAAAAGTATTGGAAGATCTAAAAAATGACGGTTTTGAACCCACAGCAATTACCTATGAGTGTTACGTCTCGGCATTAGTAGCTCATGGAGAACTTGAACACGCTGCTGACGTGTTAGAGATGATGGAAAATAAAGAAATTACGCCAACAATGCTTACATACGCAACTATACTTCAATCTGCCACATCTTTTAACGAAGCGACGTTTGCTGGTGACCTTCTAGAAAAAATGGAAAAAGTGCATCATCCATTGTCTTCTGCTCTCTATATCGACGTATTGCGGTTAAGCACTTTAGAAAAAAAGGTAAGTTTGAATATCTGTAGTTTATTCATATTATCGGATTCTTATTTTACGTAAACTCTTTCGTGTAGCCTTTATTAGTTGAGCATTGCTGGAAGAAGGCGATCGAGTCTGAGGGAGACGTCGATGATGGCCTATGCACTTACATTCTTCAACTTGCTGGTCGCACGGGAAACACAAATCTGGCTACATCAGTTGTGAAGTATCTCATCGGTAAAAGAACTCCTCTTGAGGAACATCACTATGCATCTCTCATAGCTGCCTTTGGTCGTAATAGCAGAATACGTGAGGCTGTTCTTACGCTCGACATTATGCGGAATCGTGGAATAAACCCTACCGAATACACTGCCGAAGGCATAGCGGATTTTATTCAATATTCGCATTTGCGTATCGAAGAATCACTTCAAGTGTTAAAGGACTTGCACAACCAGAAACATTCAGTCGATATCGAAGCAATAAACGCGCTTATTCGTGCATGCAAAGTCATTACAAAAAAGGATGCCCCAAGAAAAGGGAAATTCATGGCCGGTACTATAGCCGATGTTGGTCTCGCAGACAGAATTTATCGCATGACGGGTGAATTGGGTCTCACACCAGATACAAACACTCTTAATGCACTACTCAATGTATTGACACGTACAGGACATCTTCCCGTGGCGGAGGAATATTTAAATGATTTCAAGGCAAAAGGTGTTGAATTCAATGTTGTTACTTATAGCAGAATGATAGAGATATTGTGTATGCAAATAAACTATGAAGGAGCTTTTGTTTATCTTGAAGAAATGAAGGAAAAAAATATAGTACCACCAGTAAATGTATACCGTAATATTATTCGCAAGTGTGCATATAATAATGATCCACGCGCAAGCATTGCTATCGAAGAAATGGAAAGTCTAGGATACAAACCAACATCTGATCTGTTAAGCTTTGCCCAAACGGAGACGAAACACGAAGCGGAGGGCTTTTCTCGACGTAGGAAGTCAGATCAAGGACAGGAACGTATTCTCTGGGGCGTTGATGGCGACGAGTCTCGCAAAGAGGACATTCACGTTGCAGACGATGAAATTACTGGAGCAGAGGCGCATACGGCAAATCAGATAGATGATGAGCCATTAAGAGAAAAGAAAAGGCAAAGGAGTCGAGACGATCATGAGAAATTGTTGGCTCTATTCGAAGGATGGAATTCGTAATAAAATGGATTAATTCACATAGACGAGCATGTACTTTGTTTATTGGCATCGTACATTTACCAAGTGTACTATTTTCACGTCACTGTTCCTTTTTCCGTGCTTGCATTTAATTTAATGAGCTATAAGATTGACAAATACACTTGCTTTAGTTGGTAAATACCTTTCGTCGACATACCTTGCTGTGCTCTGACATTTTGGGGATAGAATTTCTATTCAAACACGAAAGGTTATGGCTGTCTTGCTTTCTTTGCAAATTCTTGTATCTTGGTTTTTGAAACAGCCAGACAATCATGTCAGTGTTATTCAAGGTTGATGTGCAAAAATGTAGGGCATTAATATTAAACCAATACCAACACACAGATGTCAATAAATTTTATAGCAGCTATGATATAAGTTTGTTAATACAAGTCAATATTTGCAAGTTAGAAATTGCATTGGTTAATCCAATGCTCAAGATGCCAAGAGACTTGCTTGAAAACATATTTATATATTATTTATTGTTGTATCATGGGGAATGGCCGTGCATATAGCAGATCCATGTCCCCAGAGTAAATGTACAAAATGCATCCAAGCCGCAATGCATACTCCGATCAATATCTAGATCATGTCCAAACAATGCAAAAGTAATTTACAAAAAAAATATATTATCTATAATAATAGCTAAGAGAAGTCTGCGTCAAGTTTTAGATAAATAAACATACTGATGTATTATTAATGAATTAAAAGCAAATCAAGTAAATTAAACAAATTCAGGCATCCTGCCTCGTGAAGCTAGTCTTGATCCTTGAGAAAATTCTCAGAGCTCATCCGAGCACATTCGCCTCCTCTCTCGTCAAAAAGGTATCTGTAGCAGGTGCCATCCGCACAGATAACTGCTCAAAACAATTAACCAGATTAAACTACATGTCACACAAGCAATATAACAAAAATCTCTGACAGACTGATACATACCAATGATTGTATGGCTTTCCTGACCAAACCCACAAATGCATCGACAATCAGGCGTAATCTTGAAGTGAGCAAACGACCATTCGGACGAAAAGTATTTGGGAAGCAGGTCTTTCATAAATGAGAGACTAACGTAATAATAATCGAATATTAGAAACACGTCATCAATGCATGTCCGTGACATGAACATATGCTTGATTTGTCAAAAGTCGATATGAAAAAACTCACCTCGACTGCCGATTTCCACTCGATGGAGCCAAAACTGGGTTACTAGTATCAATACATTCCGACAAGTTAGTCCTTGCGTAATCAAGTGAAATATGTCTTTTACAATGCAACTCACTTTACGACCACTTCCCCATAGTGAGCCTTGCCATTATCGACAGGACCGGGTCCTTTCTCCGCGTCGGCATACAGATTGAATACGTGTACAGTACCCTTGTCTGAAGAGACGCATAGACGCCTCGAGTCTTGACTAAACGCGATACTAATAGCAAAACAAGTTCAATTTTAGCATGCCATGTCCAATAGTACATACAATTTACTCTTATTCCTCTTTGACTTTTTACCTGTAAATTTCTGCACGATCTACCCCACGACGCAACTCGTTCAACAGCTTCCCGGATGCTGTATCAAACACGCGGATAAGAGTGCCCTAATTCATCAATACTATTGTTTAATATTCCTATTATCCCAAATCGATCTCACTGCGCTTGTATCCTTTCACCCCTTGGTCCACATACCTTCTCGCTAGCGCTAGCACACTTACTTCCATCCTCGTTTAGAGCCAGGCAACTTAACTTGTTCGTATGTGCTGGGATAAAGCTGATGCTTGTTGACATATAAGTTGTATTACTCCCTGTTCTTTGCCCTTTTATTTTCGTTGTTTCTCCATACACCCTTTCTGTCTTGTGATCGCTGAATGAACGCCGATGTTGACCTAAACTCGTTGACGGAGTGCCGTTTGCATTGCCACTGACGGTAATAGGATGGGTTGTGTTTAGATCAATAATTTGAATGTGACCTTTCTGTCGTCCGGGAGTGGCGAGAATTGCATGGGAAGGCGACGAGGATAGAGCCACCAGGCCTTTATCGTTGTCTATCGTTTCGAATGTGTGCAGTTTCTCGGGCGTTGCATCAAAGCGATAGACAAAGACTTTGTTGTGGAGAACTACGACGATTCTGAAACAATCAATGTGAGGTTGGATAAGTAAGCCGGATATGAATAAATCCTCCTATTATAACATACGTACTAAACAGAACAAACTCTTCTAAGCTTGTATCCTCTTACTCTGATGTATTGATACAACCTGTCCCTTTTCAACTTTACGTTTTTCACTTCGTTCCTAAATTCCATTTCTACTATAGGTGTTTCTTTTAAATCGTCCCATATAATGACTTTATTCGGAGCGTATTTTGGATTTTTTCCTCCGCCAACCAACGCCAGGTAATTGCACCGGAAGAGCATTTCTACTATTGCAATACCACCGTCTTCGTCTACAAAGACTCGTAATGTTAGCGATATTAACAAGGCATCAGAACCATGCACAAAATACGCTCGAGGCCTCAAAAGCCTTGTAGTTGCAGTCTTACCCTTCCGCATCTTCTCCTTGGGTGGATCACAATTGTAGATCCTAAATCCGCGGTCTAGGCCAACCGCGAAACAACCAAAATTTTGATTAAATCCAGCATACAAAAGACCGGGTGCGTCTGCCGCTGAAGAGGAAGAAGAAGGTTTGGATAGATTCATAGTATAATTGTTTCCAAAGAAAATCGAGATACGAGAGAAAGGCGGAAACTTTTAAGTGAATGTGGACTGCGGTCGTGAGAAGCAGCGGGGTAATTGTCAAACCTCCCGTTATGTGGGGTTCGCGTGATCTACTGTGAGACCATTCAATGGAATACGTGATGACGTTTCTGGATTAGATTTTTACGCCACAACGTCTCACTAATTAGAATGCACCTTAAACTTAGCATGGTGCAACTAATGAAGAGCGCGAATCCGTTATCTTATTAAACCAACTATTTCGAGTCATGGTGTAATATGATGTGTCTCATGCTCCCTAATGAATCTCCCAGAAACATGCAATAACTTCTCTCTTCTATGCATTTTTTGTAGGCTTATGTTCATTCTGTATCGCCAACAGACCATATCTTGAAATTGCCGGATTTGACGCTCGTCTGCTGGTAGTTTTCTGATCGATTGGCAGACTCTCAAACTATTATGTATACTTGGGAAAATATCATTCTATTCGAATTACTTTCCTCATATTAGCTTTTTATTTAGTTTAGTATCAAAAATCTTTGCGTTTGGCTTAATTACTTTTGTAAGCCTGTTCCTAATTGCTTTGTCGAATTAAACCTTTATAATGATCGCATGAGTTTATTATTAGTATAAGCTGCTTTGTCTCACAAAAGCATTGTTACATAATAGTTATAAGTTTCACAATATTAAATATTCTTTCCTAATTTAGAGCATCAACTATACCTATTATGTATAAATAAAATGGCTCGCGCTGATATTTTGTCAATCTTCCGAGTACCACTCTAACCCTTCGGAGTTATGCAAGGACTTTATAAGAATTTACGAAGAAAATGCATGCTCCATCAATAAAAGATATTACACAAGTTAATTACGGCAAAAACAAAAAAGCAAAGTTTTTAATAGATACCTGTGATAATAATGTTGTTGGTAGATTGGATATGGCATTCTTATTTGTCTAATGTTTGAATTTACAGACTGATGCAAGAGTCTAAGTAATTAGTCCAGCAGTCTCTGTAGATATGGAAGACTCACGATTGTGGAGTGCTTTAATAAACAGTTATATAAGCTCAACGTATAGTGAAGCTATAGTGTTATATTACCAAGAGCTTGGATTAGGCATTTAGCAAAAGTTATCGAATATCTATCGTGTTTCTCTGATTAAAATAACCCGTGTATCAGATAGTATTTTCGAATTTACTTTTATTTCTAAAGTGTTTATGCATTGAGATATGGAATATCAAATTGATCGAAAACGTTCGAAAGATATTGGGGGCAAATAGCGGAAAAGTCAATCGGCCGACACTCATACCCTTCTTATTGAAACAGGATGACGGAATATTTAATTCTTCGATTCAATGATTGTTAAATTAACGATTATTGGTGTTCTTATTTGGATACGAGTACAGGATTACATCATCTAGGAAGCTGGTTAAGCGCGCAACAATTATTGAGTAGGCATAGTTCAGTCTTAATTGTACAACTACCAGTTGTTGAATACACCTACGCGAAAGATATATCGCTCTCCTAACCCAGATATGTACCAACCGCAACCAAAAACATTATAAACTAGACACATGCATTATTTGGTAATAGGATAGAACTATATTATGCCTTTGAAATAACAAAGTTCAGACATATCAGTCATGTAAGTAACCTGATCGGACAGACAAAACATAAACCAAACCGCCTACTATGAAAAGCCAATTAATATTCCAAATTCCCTTTCTTTGCTTATGAATGTAAGCATTTTTGTAGAGTTATTGATAAAAAATGTTTATTGCGTTGGGACTAATTTTTTCTGAATTGATGCTGTTTTATAATAAAATCTTCGTTAGTGCGTTATATTAATATGCGAGTTTTTGCGCATCAATTCTCAGCGGTTTAATGCACGAAACGTTGTTGATGCGGATACCATATAAGCCAGCCATAACAAATTCTATATAAACCATAACACATTATCTTGATTCTGATTACGGAAATAATGGGTGACAAGCGAAAAATGGACTACCTTCGATATTTTCTGTATGTGGCTCAACTATATTAGAAGAATTTTAATAACAAGTAAGCATATCCGTCAGGTAATACAATGTCTATTATAATAATTTGTCTTCCTTCTAACGTGATAGTACCGCGGGTACCCCTGGACAAGACAAAAAGACATAATCCAAATGAGTTGTTTGTTTAAAATTGCTTTTCGGCTTGATAGTGTTATAGTTATAGGATTAACTCCACTACCTGACATCAGCCAGGGCCAGCAATTTGCTGTGAAGGAGTAACTCATAAAAATATAAAACCCTAGAATTTATTGTGTGGCAGCAGCAGCGTCGTCGTTATACTTGGTTCCATCTATAGACGACAGAATTCTGCGGTTGAATGCTAGAGTTTAGCGGGCATGACGCTAACGCAGTCGCTCAGTATAAAAATATACGAGAAATTTATTCCAGAGGCGGGCGGACGGGTTAATCTAAGCAACCCGCAATTTATTAATTTTAACATTACCGATAACTATTCTAATTACTAATTTATTACCGAGCTGCTTGTTACGTCATAGCTATGGAACGAATGGTTATAAGATTGAGGAATTAGCGATCGGTTAAAGGAGGTAATAAACCGAAGATACTCTTATTCAGTCATTTCTTCGCCTATTATTAATTGCATCTTTATATTAATATGAATGCTGCTCCAATGGACAATTTATTTCATCTAAAAATGCCCCGATTGAGAAGAAAGCCTTACACAATTAGCGGCGGAGACAAACGAGCAGAGCACACTCATTCAGGAGCTAATTGATAGATTAAATTTGCCTGACCTATGAATGCTAGTGGTAACGTTAGATATTTGTTTGTGATGTATTATAAGTATTACTAATGCAATCTTAAACTACAGAATTTACGATGCGGTGAACACAAGCGCGAGCCTTGACGATGGTGAGATTATACAAGAAGTTCTTGATTGCAAGTCCGCTGAGAGCGATTTTGATACAGAAGATGAAGAAAAAGATACAGTCGTCAAAAAAATTTCCGTTAATGAAGGTATAGATGCTCTTAAGAAGTCCATGATATTTTTCAAACAACAAGACAACATTGACTTTAAGACAGAAGACTTGACAGAGTAATAGTCAAAGGTGAAACAAAAAAGTGGCCAGCAGGAAGGCCATACATGAAAGAATTCTAATGAGAACATAAGATAATGGTAATTATTTGAGAGGGAGCATGGAGTGATCAGATGTAAGTGTCTATATATTGTAAGGAATGATAATAAAGAATTGAGAGAGAATGTGAGAATGCATAAGAAGTATAGTCTGTCCAAATGGTCCAGAGAGCAGCAGAAATGAGGAGATGAGCAGTAAAACGGAATTGTTTGAGAGGAGGAGAATGAAGAAGAGTAGAAGGGTTTGAATTATGATGGAAGTAGTTACTATTACATAGTTGGATGATACGTGACCATACAGTATGTAGTAACACTGATAATGATTAGTAATATTAATTACTAATGGAAATATCGTTAGCCTATGATTACAATATTACGATCTTGTGGGTTACTTGTATTCTGTTAGAACAAGAATAATGCTTGACACTAAGCAAAGAGTTAACATCTCTAGTACTGAACTAAGAAAGACATAATAGAATGTATATGATGCTAGTCATTGGGTTATGCTTCCCTGAATCTTAATAGGAATACAGTTTGTGGAATACTGCAACTTATGAATGTAATGGCTAGTATGGTTATAATTCATGGTATCATTAATCACACTGAGTCCAATCATGAAGTAATGCCAAGCAGAACCCTCAGTTGTAACCCATCGCATTCACACCTATTATTTATTTATCATCCAAATTTAGGTACAGTACAATTTTCTGTAATCATAATTCATGTCTGACATTCTTTATGCTTATATAATGGTTTATTTATATAGTAATTATAATTTGTACCATTTCTAATCATGTCATAATAATGCAGACTATATTTGGTCTGGTTTATATTAAAAAGACGCAAAAGGTCATAGTAATCAGATTTCAGGTTAGTAATAGTAATATGCAAATTGATTGCATTGCAAAGTTTATCCCAAGCTGTTCAATACTAATACTAATTCATTATCATTGTCAAAAATAATGCAGTTGCATCTTCTGGTTAAATGTCCAAAGCTTTATTGAGATCACTTAATATATTATCATACTGTTTGAGCTTAAGGTAAACTCTTTATCTTGTAATTGCATCTTAATCTTCTAGTTCAATGAGATCAATTAATGCATTATCATCCTGAGATCACTTAATGCATTATCATACCGTCCATGGTGAAGGTAAACTTACCCTCTCCTATTGCATCTTCTGGTTTAATGTCTAAAGCTTTATTGAGATCACCTAATGCATTATCATACTGTTTAAGCTTAAGGTAGACTTCTCCTCTTGTTCTTAATGCTATTGCATCTTCTGGTTTAATGTCCAAAGCTTTATTGAGATCACTTAATGCATTATCATACTGTTTAAGCTTAAGGTAGACTTCTCCTCTTGTTCTTAATGCTATTGCATCTTCTGGTTCAATAACCAAAGCTTTATTGAGATTCCTTAATGCATCATCATACTGTCCAAGGTAAAGGTAGACTTCTCCTCTTGTTCTTAATGCTATTCCATCTTCTGGTTCAATAACCAAAGCTTTATTGAGATTTCTTAATGCATCATCATACTGTCCAAGGTAAAGGTAGACTTCTCCCCTCATTCTTAATGCTATTGCATCTTCTGGTTGATCCTTTAATGCATCATCATACTGTTTAATAATAAGGTCAAGATGAAGATAGTCTTCCCCCTTTTTACTTAACCCTTGATATGCCAGCTCTCTCAATACTCTTATATTTGGTTTAACATCCAAAGCTTTATTGAAATTCTTTAATGCATCATCATGCTGTT